TGTTGGGTAACCACTACGTCAGTCTCCTTCCAAAACATTTAATCGCGCCCCCCCTCCCCCCAAAAAAGACGCTGTCCCCATTTAACAGTCACTCACCATTGCATCTTCCCAGAAGCTCCTGGCAGCCCCTAATCTACTTTCTATGGGTTTGTCTACTTTGGGTGTTTCATGTTAATAGAATCATACAACATGTTACCTTTTGTGTATGGAGTCTTTCAGGTAGCATGTCTCTGAGGCTCATCTGTGTTGAAGCATGTATCCATGTACCACCCTTTGCTATGGCTGAATAATATTCCATTGTGTGGATGGTCCACGTTTTGTTTATTCATCCATGTATTGATGGACATTTTGGTTGTTTCCACCTTTAGATGGAAGCTTAAATTAAAAAAAAATCCTCACTTGACAACATGCTTATTGATTTTAGAGAGGGGGAAATGAGAGAGAGAGAGAGAGAGAGAGAGAGAGAGAGAGAGAGAGAGAGAGAGAAACATTGATGTGAGAGAGAAACATTGATCAGTTGCCTCCTATACTTGCCCTGACTGTGGATCAAAATGCAACCTAGATATGTGCCCTGCCAGGAATTGAACCTGCAATTTTAGGATGTACAGGACGATGCTCCAACCCACTGAGCCACATTGGCTAGGGCTGTACTAAATGCCACTGATTTAAAATTTCGACCACTACCTTCATTAAGAAAATTTAGGTTAGTGGTTGGCAAACTCATTAGTCAACAGAGCCAAATATCAACAGTACAATGATTGAAATTTCTTTGGAGAGCCAAATTTTTTAAATGTAAACTTCTAACACCACGTCTTCAAAATAGACTCGCTCAGGCTATGGTATTTTGTGGAAGAGCCACACTCAAGGGGCCAAAGAGCTGCCTGTGGCTCTCAAGCTGCAGTTTGCCGACCACTGGTTTAGGTGGTCTCCAGTGTTTGGGATTAAAGCTGTGGTGGAGAGATGAATGGAGTCCGTGGGGTTCCAGAGGAAGGAGTTCCAGAATCTTCCACAGGGTAGTGGAAGCGGTTAGAGAAGGCTTCACGTTGGAGGTTCTGTACCTGTTCAACATTAATGACTCCCCCACTCCCCCAATCCCCCACTCCCCCAATCTCAAGCCCTCGGTAACCACTCTATATTACTTTTCTTTGTTGTGGTTAAAGAAAAAAACACACCATAAAACCTACTATCTTAACTATTTTTAAGTATAATATGTTCTTATTGATCTTGACCAGAGGCACTTTATGTGGTGGCTGCAGGAACTCACAAACCCCAGGGGAAGGGGAGGGTGGGAGGGTGGTGGGGAGATGCAGACTCCCCAGATTCAGGAAGTATTCAGGCACTGGCCTCTTAAAGGAACAGGCAGAGAGGGGCCTAAATGGGACCTGAGAGACTGGATAAGAGGGCGAGAGAGGCCCATTTTGCAAGATTCAGTGAGTGCCAGGCCAGCCCTGTGTCCTGGGGAGAAGATGAAACTAAGATAAGCAGCAAGCACGGGAGCAGAATGCTTTCCTCGCCCAGATACTGGGCATCAGGTGCCATGCAGGTTGATGGACATTCTCACATGCTAGACAGAGCAGCGGGGGAAAACCAGGATTGAGGGAGGATATGGAGCATGTTTGGGACACATTAAAGGTGAGGAGCATGTGGTCACTCAGGGAGACATGTCCTAGAGGACATGGGGATGGAGCCCTTAGGAGAGAGGCCTGAGCTGGAAGCGCAATCTGGTAAACCTCCACAGAGCCCGGCTGTTGTGCCCTTGAACTTGAGTTCACATTATTTCAGAGATGGATTGAGTCCACTTTATGAGTTGTGTCCAAGGTTGGACTCTGAAAACACAGGGTCGGACATAGTGCTTACTGTCCTTGCCCTGGGGAAGCTCATTGTTTGGTGGAAATCAGACTTCGATGCTTACAAGGGTTATTTCTTTTTTTTTTTAAAGCATAACGTCCATCTTATTAAAGAGTGACATTCCTCTGGAAAAGAGCACAAATCAGCCTTGGCTGGTGAGGCTCAGTAGGTTGAGTCTGTGCACAAAGGTTGCTGGTTCAATTCCCAGTCAGGGCATATGCGCAAGTTGCAGGCTCAGTCCCCAGTAGGATGTGGAAAACGAGTCTTTGAAGGCAAGAATGTGCAACTTTCTGGGGCTCTGTGTGCTTGCCTTGCACACAGTAGCTGCACAGTAGTGATGAATAGGTGCCAAATGACAGGCTTTGCAGATCTCCATAGAAGCCAATGCACAAATCGCAGGATTTTGTGTAAAAGTTTTGCTTTAATTTTTGATAAAGAAAATGACATAGCCGAAACCATTTTGGCTTAGTGGATAGAGCGTTGGCTTGCGGACTGAAGGGTCTCAGGTTCGATTCCACTCAAGGGCATGTACCTTAGTTGTGGGCACATCCCCAGTAGGGCGTGTGCAGGAGGCAGCTAATCGATGTTTCTCTCTCATTGATGTTTCTAGCTCTCTATCCCTCTCCCTTCCTCTCTGTAAAATATCAATAAAATATATATTTTGTTTAAAAAAAAAAGAAAAAGAAAATGACATATATCTGCTTTTCTTCTCCCTGTATCTGCTCACTCACAACCAGAAGGAATAATAATTCAGAAGACCAGAAGTGAGAGGTGAACAAAAATTTGTTTTTCTCTGTAGAGACAGGGCCAGCTCAGCAAAGTGCTTCCCTAATGTGCAGAGGTGGGTTGGGGGTGAGAAGGAAGGTTGGAGTATCCCTATGTCTGGCCCTTTCTTCCTGGATCTGGTATCCAAGACCTTTCTTGTGTCCTCAAGTTTTTCTCATCCCTCTGTTTTTGGAGGCCCCAGTGGAGTCATTTCCATGCCAGGAAAAACAGGAGTGAGGCCAGCGTCTGGTAGAATACTGGATCTGGGGGATGAGCAGCTGGTGTGCTGTGGTTTGGGGCTTGAGGGACTCAGAGAAGGGGTCACCTGGGAGAGGCCACAGAGGAGGAGGAAGCCAGCTCCCATGGGGGTGCTCCTGAGCTGGGTGAAGTCCGGAAGGAGAGGCACATGTAAGAAAATGTTGGGAGGACACAAACTTCCTGTTTTCAGCCCTAGGGGGACCCACACTTCCTTCCACTTTTTGACTGTGGGGTTCTGGACAGTCTGGGCTAGTAAGTGCGGGAAGTGTCTGCCCAGAAGTTGGGGTGGGAGCCCTGAGGTGGTTGCGATCATCCGCGGAGAGAGACCAGAAGGCTCCAGACAGAAATATGAGAAAACCCTGGAAAAGGGATAGCCTGGCCAGGACCAAACGAGTTAAAACCAGCTCAGATGGGGAAAGACAGACAGCACAACTGAAGTTCTTCAGCTGGTTGGGAGGACAGATACAAAATTAAAAGGAAACCTCATTTCTCCCAAGGTCTAACAACGACTATACAATGTCATAAGGACCCCTACGTGGAGTGGTGGTAAATGCTTTCCTCCCATGATGCTCCGCGTCTGGTTTTGCTATTCCCGTCTAACTACTCAAGCCAGCATCCAATTCCTAGCTAACACCCATACTGGGTGAAGGGCCCAAGCATGCGGGGGCGGCATGTCCTGGAAGGTCCTGGACACCGCTGACCAGCATCATTGACCAAGATGTCACCAGACCCTTCCCCAGGCCCCTCCTACTCTGCACTGGGGTCCCTGAATGGTTGACCTCCCTCAGGCACTCCATCCACCACCCTAGAGACACCTGGGAAGCGTTGTGTTGGGGAGCTGTCCTGTCTGTGGTGCTGAAATAGGGTCTCCGGAGGCTTCTGTCCCTGTTTGAGGCCAGGAGGGAAAAGGCATTGGGATGGATGGAACCAGGGGAGGAGTAGACCTTCAGAAGTGGTGGGGGCTGGGCTCCTCCCTCTGCTTGGTCTCCCACCTCTCCTCTTCTCTCTCAGGGATTGTACATCCTGAGGGTGAGGTCCATCTGTCCCACCTGGCCGAGCCTCAGGCAGGAGGATGTTTGTGCTAAGGCTCTCTGTCTTCTGTAACCCTCCTTTCAATAAGCTTGCTTCATGCCAGCCTCACCCAAACGAACAAAATCTCTCAAAGTGAGAGGCTGGTCTTCACAGTTGACAAAGGAGAGAACTTGAGCATCAGAGTCACGAATATTAGACACTTTGCCTGGATCCCTTTCTCCAGTTCTGTCCACTCACCCCCATGCTTCTGGGCAGGGGGCAGGTAGTCTCCGGTTTGATGAGGAAGAGAAGCACTTCCTGGACTCTTATTCCTGGTTCTGATTGATTCCTCTTGCTGGACTCACCTGACAGTGTCAGAGGGACTTGGAGGGGAATGATTTTGATTCTGAGTCAGGATGTGGGAAACCACGGGTCTGAGTGTCTGTCCTCTGTTGGGCTAGTGTCTGATGAGGTGCCCTGCTTCTATATTGTTCTCAACCAATTTGATTTTTTTTGAGAGAGAGACAGAGAGGAATGGAGAGAGAAAGAGACACATGGATGTGAGAGCAGCACATGGATCAGCTGCCTCCTGCATGGCCCCTACTGGGCATCGAGCCAGAAACCTGGGCATATTCTCTGACCTGGACTCAAACCAGCAACCTTTCAGTGCACAGGACAGCATTCAACCAACTGAGACACACCAGCCAGCCTCATTGGTTCGTTGTTGTATGTGCCCCTACTGAGGCTAGAACCCACAGCCTTGGCACAACAGGACGACACTCTAACCCACTGAGCTACCGGCCAGGTTCCATGTGTACTTTTATTTAATCCTCATAGCAACCCTGCAATATAGAACTTCTCATGCCTGATCACAGATCAGGAAATCAAGTCCCGGAGGGGTAAGGTGGCTCTGGGGGTGTCATATTCTTCTTAATCTGAAGAAAGAGGAGGAGCTTGCTCCCAGGTCTCTCTGACTGCAATGCCTGAGGTAGTTCCAATAGGCTAGGAAAGTCATACACAGTAGTTTGTAAACCCACTGCCTGTTGAGTGCTGTCCTGTGGGGATGTGAGGTCTCCAAAAATCCTCCTTCCCATGGAGGATATGGACGTTTTGGCCTCTCAATGGGTCCTGACATTTGCGTATTCCGATTCGGGGCTCATCTGAGGAGGTTTCTTCTCCTTAAAGCGGATGGAGGCATAATACACCTCTGGCTCCACCCTCAAGGCCGGAGTGGCCCCTGCAGGGCTGGTGGAGTCAGCTTGGCTGTCTGACTCGGGTGTCTTTTGCTGACCCTGTGTGGAGAGCAAAGAACAACGGGGTCAGAGAAGAGTGAGGGCAGGGGGAGGAGTCCCTGCAATGAATTTGATTGTAACATGATCTTTGTTCATCCTTCCATTAAAAATATATATATTATTGATTTTTTACAGAGAGGAAGAGAGAGGGATAGAGAGCTAGAAACATCGATGAGAGAGAAACATCGACCAACTGCCTCCTGCACACTCTCTACTGGGGATGTGCCCACAACTAAGGTACATGCCCTTGACCAGAATGGAACCCGAGACCCTTCAGTCTGCAGGTCAATGCTCTATCCACTGAGCCAAACCGATTTCGGCTCCATTTTTTTTTTAAATAAAAATTTTAAATTTATTTTTTGTTAATCCTCACCTGAGCATATCTTTTTCCATTGATTTTTAGAGGAGAGAGAGAGAGAGAGAGAGAGAGAGAGAGAGAGAGAGAGAGAGAGAGAGAGATGTGAGAGAGTCACATCTCTTGGTTGCCTCCTGCATGCACCCCGAATGGGGTGGGGATGGAACCTGTAACCCAGGTATGTTCTCTTGACCAAAAATCGAATCCACAACTGTGTGGGATGACACTAACCACTGAGAAACACCCGTCAGCACATTCTTTTATCCTTTTATTGAATATTTCTCAAGGTCCCATTTATTCACTTATCCAACAAATACTTTTATTGGTTGCTTTCCAATTCTACTGACTTTTGTGGGAAATACTATTATTTTACAGAGAAAGACAGTAAGTCTCAGAGAAGTTAGGTACTTCTCAAGGTCACACATCTGCTGGTCATGAACTCCACCCCTGGTCTCTCAGAGCTCTCCTATGTGCCGACACTGGCTATACAGGGAGTTGTTTATGAAAAAGGACTTCTCCTGTGTGGCTCTCCTTTCCTCCCTTTAAAAAAGAAGCCCGCCCCCTGCCACCGAAACCGGTTTGGCTCAGTGGTTAGAGCGTCGGACTGTGGACTGAAAGGTCCCAGGTTCGATTCCAGTCAAGGGCATATACATTGGTTGCGGGCACATCCCAATTGGGGGGTGTGCAGGAGGCAGCTGGTCGATGTCTCTCTCTCATCGATGTTTCTAGCTCTCTATCTCTCTCCCTTCCTCTCTGTAAAAAATCAATAAAATGTATTTAAAAAAATAAAAAGACCCCCTCCCCAAGGGAGGGTATGTGTGTGGGGGGGGCAATGGTATATGTACAGAGATAATAATTTAATAAAAAAATTTTAAAAGACCCTCCCTGCAAGGATATGTTTTTATTGATTTATAGAAAGAGAGGAAGAGAGAGAGAGAGAGAGAGAGAGAGAGAGAGAGAGAGAGAGAGAGAGAAACATTGATGTGAGAGAGAAACATTGATCTGTTGCCTCCCAACCAGGCATCAAACCTGCTACCTTTTGGTGTGTGAGATGACGCCCTAACCAACTGAGCCACCCAGCCAGGGATCTCCTTTTACTCTTATAAACCAAGCAATTCTCTGACACCAGCTGGGTGTCCTACAACTGGACTCAATTCTGACACCATCTACCTGAAGATATTGTTAGATCCCCACAGGTTGAAGGCTCAGGCCCACAAGAACCCCCACCCCCACTGCCACTTCAGATGCCAATAACAAGCCCAGGTTGCCACCTGTGCTTCTGACCAACTGGCGGTAAACCAGAGGTTCCCACGATTCCCTCCTCACGTTCAATAAATTCACTAGAGTGACTCCCAGAATTCAGGGAGACCGTTTACCAGCCATAGAGCAGCTTGTGATGGAAGGATGTGACACAGGATACAGAGGAGCATCCCAATGAAGAGATGCATGGGTCCCGGTATGAGAGGAAGGGCAAGGAGCGTTTGTGTTCTTGCCAAGTGCACCATCCTCCCAGCGCCTCCACATGTTCACCAACTTGAAATCTCCCTCAGCCCCAGACTCAGCATTTTTATGGAGGGTTTGTCGTGTAGACAAGATCAATAATTAATTCCGTTGCCAGCCCCTCTACCCTCTCTGGACGATGGAGGATGGGGCTTAAACTTCTAATTATTGCTCAGTCTTTCTGGTGACCAGCCCCCATCCAGGAATCCACAAGAGTTGCCTCATTGCACCCTGGCTGGTGTGTTCAGTGATTAGAGTGCCAGCCTGTGCCCTGAAGGGTCATGGGTTGAATTCCTGGTCAAGGGAAGGTACCTGAGTTGCAGGTTTGATTGCTGGCCCCCAGTCTGGCACCTAGGGGAGGCAATCAATCAGTGACCTATGGGAGTCAATCAATCAGTGTGAATCAGTGTGTCTCTTTCACCTTTCTCTCTCTCTCTCTCTCTCTCTCTCTCTCTCTCTCTCTCTCTCTCTCTCTCTCCACTCTTTCTAAAAAAATCAATGGAGAAAATATCTTCAGGTGAGGATTAACAACAACAAAAATGTTGCCTCATAGAAAAAAAAAAAGACCCTTGACTCTAGAATTACTGCAACATTTCTCAAACAAGGCTTTTCACTTCCTCTTCCTCCATTCTCTCTTGAACGCAACCCACTTATTAAGACATCTGCCTCTGTAAGGCCAGCAGATCTGCCTTTGTCCAGATCAGTTCTGATCCTACTTAGCTAAATTTAAACCAGTGGCTCCCAACATGGGGCACACACCCCACAGGGGGGAAATTTGATTTAAAAAAAAAAATATTTTATTGATTTTTTTACAGAGATGAAGAGAGAGGGACACATCCCAATTGGGGGGTGTGCAGGAGGCAGCTGGTCTAGAGAGCTAGAAACATCTATGAGAGGAAATCATCGATCAGCTGCCTCCTGCACCGCTACTGGGGGAGTGCCCGAAACCAAGGTACATGCCCTTGACTGAAATCAAACCCAGGACCTTTCAGTCCACAGGTCAACACTCTGTCCACTGAGCCAAACTGGTTTCAGCAGAAATTTGATTTTAAAGGGAGTACAATTTGAGAATGAGTTATTAACAGTGAAATTTTGCATTTCTTATGGTTATAGGGGCCTTGTATTCAGTATATAAATACATGGTGTGACATATATATGTCACACTAACTATATATATACATATATACATATATACATATATACATATTACATATATACATGTATATATGCATTTCAGTTCTCTATTATATGTTTTGAAAGTCGATTTGCTATTTTTTCATATCACTTCATATTATTGTTATTTTTTAAAACAACTTCTTAGGGATTTTGTCCTCAGTACTTCCACTGTCCTTTCATTCTTTATTTTTCTCTTTCATAGATGTCATGCTCTTTGGAAGCTTGTTTAGACCATTTAATGGCCTTTTAGGCTTCCTCCATATGAATAGAAGTTAACTTTTTGGATAAAAAGAATTCTATGTCACGGTGGTGTTGGGCATCAGGATTTTAGAGATGCTTAGGTGGGGCATGGCCAAAAAGCTGTCATTTCTCAGCCCCTATCTTACCAGATTTATTAGCATTTGAAAAAAGGTGAGCACTCCTTCCTGCTTGAAGTTCCATCACCCCTTGGCTACCAGGACCCAACCCTACACTCTCCTGGTCAATTTTTTCTTCTTCAGTGATCTTTTTGCTCTTTTCACCACATCTCCCTGACTCTTAAGTGCTGGGAGGCCCCAGGACTCTGTCTTCAGTCCCCTTCTTTCCTTTATGGCTTCATCCACTATCAGACCTTGATGTGGAAGACTGCCAAATCTCCATGCCTCCCACCTGGACCCCTCTCCTGAACTCCAGACTTTGACCATCTACTTGTCATCTTCATATAAACATCTCAGAAGTGCCTTAAACTTAGAGTAACCAAAACAAAATTTGATCACCTCTCAAAAACATACCTTTCCTGCACAGTTGGCAATTCAGAGAATTGGTACTTCAATTCTTTAAGTTGCCCAGGGCAATCACATTAGAGTCATTCTTGGTATCTATGGACATTTGTGGACATCAAGGACCATCTATGGAGCCCTATGACATCCTTGGACATCCATGACACCCACGATTATATCCATGGCAATCAATGGACATCTCTGACCATCTTTGAATATCTATGACACTTCTGGATATCCATAACCCATAGAGTTATCTTTGACATCGATGGACCTCTATAAACATGTAAGAGCACCTATGACTACAGGTGGACCTCTATGACATCACTGGATATCTATGACACCTTATGAGGTAAAGGCAGTGAGCTCACACCTTCAGAATGTATCCAGACCCCAACTGCTTCACAACAGATTCATCACGCATGCCCTGTCTAAGTCTGTTTTATGGGCTGAACACTGTCTCCCAAATTCATATGTTGAAGCTCTAACTCCCAATGTGTCTATATTTGGTGATAGGGCCTTTAAAGAGGTACTTAATTTTTTAAAATGGGATCATTAGAGTAGGATGCAACACGATTTAAGTCTTTATAAAAAGAAGAGAGACCAGGAATGCATGGGCATAGGAAAAAGGCCATGAGAAAGCAAGAAGGTGGCCATCTGCAAGCTCGGGAGGGACATTTTACATTTGTAATGTAATAACTTGTAAAAATACAGATATTGACAAGTGGGAGATACTGGCCGAAGGAAAATATACAAAAGCATGGGTGATGGCTGATCGTGTGTTCAAAAATCTCACAGTGGTATCCACATAAGTTAGAGTTCAATGAGAGTCAGAACTTGGAGGAGGAGTAGGAACAGGGCGGGTTGAGGCAGGCATGCGAAGAGGAAGGGACAGCCAAGTGATGGTTCTGAGATGCAAAAAGCTTACTCTGCTGGAGGCCAGTGAGCAGGTGAGTTCGGGAGGCGCAAAGCGTGGAAGGTGACTGGTTTTTCCTGACTCAAATGCCAGACCAAGTTGTCTGGGTGCTTGGCAGTGTGGAGAACCAGTGCATTTCAGACTTGGGTGTGATGGGGAGGAGAGGTGGGAGGCTGCAGCAGGCATGCTTTGTGGTGTATTAGTGCAGAAAGAGCTGGTGGAGGAATGAGCAGGACAGGGACGAGCCTCTGGTTGGATATCAGGGACAAGAATACCAATGTGAGATGGAGAGCCCAGCAGAAGTATATTTGGGGTTGTATTAACCGTGTGCACCGGCCAGGATATATATATATATATATATATATATATATATATATATATATATATATATATATATATATATATATATATATTTAAATATGTTTTATTCAGGTTTTACAGAGAGGAAGAGAGAGGGATAGAAATCTAGAAACATCGATGAGAGAGAAACATCTACCATCTGCCTCCTTCACACCCCCCACTGGGGATGTGCCTGCAACCAATGTACATGCCCTTGACTGGAATCGAACCTGGGAACTTTCAGTCTGCAGGCCAACACTCTATCCACTGAGCCAAACCGGTTTTGGCTACATTTTATATCTTGATGTCTGGGGCTTTGGTAACCCTAGAGAAACTGTCTCTGCCAGGACTAGCTAATTGCTAAAGATATTAAAGGACTTGCCTGCAAGTGTGACTTTCATATTGCAAACCAGCCCGTCCAATCCAAACTCCATGACTCCAACCATCTCCTTTATGGAACTCTTACACTTCCGACCAGTTCTCTCCTGCCCTGATCACACCAGGACCAGGGACCAGACAACAAGAGACAGCCCCTACACCCTGAAATTATTCAAACTAGCTAGTCCTAAGCCTGCCTCCCCTGCCTCACCTCACCTCACCTTCCCCATGGAAACCACCATCAAGATTCCTGCCCCCGTTTTTCCCTTCCCTCCCTCTGCCTCCTAACTGACCCTGGTGCTGCCCTGTGTGGCCCTGAGGTGTGATGTTTTCCCCCTCTTCTTGGGAACTGTGAGGAACAAATTGTGGCAGTGGTCTCCTGATCGGTTGGCCTGACATGCCTGAATAACAGTAAAACCTTCATTTGCCCAAAAGAGTGGGAAGGTGAAGAGCTCATTTCTGGACATGCTGAATGGAACAAAAAGGTGGGCCACCCAGGAAGTGGGGGCAGGGTTGCGTGCCAAGATGTCCATGTTACTCACCAGCGAAGCTGGCCCCGTGGCAGGGTGGATGTTGTCCATGCCCATCGCTGCCCTGGCTTTCTTCCTGCGAGTCTTCACTCTGTTGGGAGTTGCCAGGGTCTTTGACACAGGGTCACTCTTTGAGGCTGGAGTGAGTGCCAGGGAAGATCAAGGGTGGGGCAAGACCAAGAGCCTTCATAACAAGACTTTGGAACAAGGTCTTCCCCCACCACCACCCCTCTTCCCACCAACTCAAGCATGGCTCAGTGGCTACCAGCTAGATTCTCACCACCACAGCACCCCTCACCCTTGCTCCAGGCCTTCACCACCCCTCCAGGTCCCTATTCTCCAGCTATGGCCCACACCTGTCCCATCTCACACAAAATAGATGAGGCAGAGGCAGCCAGCCAGCAGTGCAGTGACACCGGCTCCCGTGACGGCCGCCCGAACCACGTCTGCCTTCGTCCTCAGTTCCCCTGCAGACAAGAGGGACCTGGGTGAACTCCAAGCTCGAGGAGCAGGCATGTGTCCCCTCTTCTCAAGCATGAAGAGATGGGTGCCCCTCTCCTCCATCCAGGGCTGAGCAACTGGGTCCTCCAGAAGCATGGGGTGAAGGGCACGGTCAACGTGACATCTCCTATCCAGTCCCCACACTCCCGTGCAGCAAACCTCATCTTTTCTAGGACCTGGGTTCTTCTCCATCTAGGGTTTCCCTGCCACAGACCTGAGACCTGGCTGCATCAGGACCTTGATCCTCAGAGTCCCATGGGCACTCCAAAGAGAGAGAGACACACACACACAGAGTGCTGTGGGATGCCGAAAGACCTATCTCTTCTTCCTTCCTGGGAAGGTGTCAGAATCTTCTCTCCTGACCTGCATCACCACCCTTTGCCCACCATCCAGAACTGAAATACCATCACTGACATGTACACATGAGGAACTGTTTGACATTGAAATTGGGTCTCAAAAGAACTGGTGGCCCAGGAAGAAACTCACTACAGACTGATGCATATGCCTTTCAGCATAACCATTATTGCTTGTCTCATTTTAGATTATTATAAGTATATCTCCAGGAGGACATGATCTCACTCATCTAGGGGAAATGGTGAACAACATAGGCTGATCAACAAGAACAGACCCAGAGATAAGGAGCCATGGGTCAGACTGTTGGACCTCAAAGAGAGGGTGGGAATAAAAGGGAGAGATCAACCTTAGGACTTGTGTGCACACATATGAGCCAACCAGTGGTCAAGGACAATAGGGAGGTGGGGGCATGAGTTGGCGGGGGGAGTGGGGAATTGGAATGGGGGGTTGAGGACAAATATGCGATACCTTAATCAATAAAGAAAGAAAAAAAATTTTTTTTTAAGAATCTCTCCTGGCCTCCACTGTCCCTGTTGCTCAGGGTCAAAGGTGATCTTTTGTGCCTCCAGAAGAAGGTGAAAGTGGAGAGGTTCTCAGACCTACAGGCGAGACCCAACAGCTCTCCTGGTCTGGTCTAGCCATGCCTCCCAGGAACCCAATGCCTGGCGTCAGGGTTGTGTCTCTGGGCATCACCTGTCACAGTCTGAACTGAGAGAGTCCTAGCAGAGTCACTGACCAGTGCAGGTGGGAACCAGATGCCATCACCAATGGGAATAGAGCAGGAGGAGGATGGGGTTCCAGAGACAGGTCAAGGTGAGGGCCAAAGGATGGGCAGGCAAAAAAATAGAGATTTTCAGAGAAGTGAAACTGCTCTACATAATACTATCATGATGTACACATGTCATTGTACAATGTCCAAGCCCATTGAGTGTACAACACACAAGAGTAAACCATAATTATGAGTTTTGGTGGACAATGGTGTGCAAATGTCCCCTCTGGTGGGGGATGTGCGTGGGAGGGAGGGTGCGAGAGGTTTAGGGGAAATCTCTCTACCTTCTGCCTCCTGCTTAATATTTCTGTGCATTTATGGCTGCTTCTATAACTAAAGTCTACTCAGAAATGCTCCAAGGCATTTGTAACTGGGGGAAGATAAAGAGCATCTGTTAGGGTGGGCGGGGAGAAGGTTGTGGTCCCTCTGGGCAGACAGTGGTCGGAGAGTATTGGGGAAGAGGTCAGATAGGGCTGCTCACGTTTAACTGCACCCACACCTCCCTGCTGAACTCTGAAGTCCAGCTCTGAATCAACCAGACAGAGACCCACATCAATCAATGCCCCATGACAGAAGACTCCTTCCCACCTGCACCATCTTCCAGGCAACCACCTGCTGTTGGATTCTGCGAAGCACCTAGGACAGGAAGAAAGGAATTCCTTCCTCAGTGGACTGAGTTGGAGTAAGGGTCATTTAGGCATTTCAACGTCCACCCTCAGAAAGCACGGAAATGCAAGAGGGACAGGGCTTTGTGCTCCAGGTCCCCAGGACAAAGCACCCGACACACCTGTCTGGCCTCCTGTTCTGCATACCCTCAGGGGCCTGGTGCTCCAACCCAGCACTCACCAGTGACATTGAGCTGGATGGTTCTCTCCACGGTCACACCAACAGCAGGAAAGTGCACCTGACAGGTGAGGTTGGTGCCGTGGTCCTGGGGCCGTGGGGTAAGGGTGAGCACGGAGGAGAGGCGGGTCCTGGGGCCCAGGGAGCTGTGGGCAGCTGAGGTCCAGGAGAAGGTGGGGGGCGTGCCCCGCTCACAGGCCCAGGGCACAGAGCAGGTCAGGTTCCCGGGGCGGCCACACTCCAGGGTCCCCGGGATGTGGATGTCAGGTGTGTGGTTGAGGGCTGGAGAGGAGGGGAGAGAGGGGATCAGGAGGGAAGGTCCCTAGGTGAGGCCCTGAGAGAAGCCTCAGGCTTTGTTCCAGCTCCTCCCTCTGAGCCCAACGCACTGTACCCTGACCCCCTCCCAGGATTGGGCCCATCCCAGCCCTGTGAGGGGCCACCATAACTGCCCCTGAGGCCTCTCCTGGAGCCCATTCCTTACCTGTCACATGCACGGAGAGCACGTTCATTTTGTAAGAAAATTTAAACTTAGGGTAATTTTCCTTTTCCACACGAAAAACGTATAATCCATCATCTGTCCTCCGGGCATCTCTGATGTCCAGGGAGCAGTTTTTGGTCTGAAGATCCCCGAGGAGATGGAATCGGCCTTGGGTCTCCTCCTGCACGTTACGAGATGGGTTGTTTGTGGCCACAGCAGCATCCTGGTGTTCATCAGCTCCTTCTGGGAACCAGTAGCCATATGCAGGGGGAGAATAATCCCAGTAGTACCCCTGGTGGGTGAAGGTGCAGGACACAAACACGCACAGACCCTCCTGCACTGTCACGGGCGTCTGCACTGTCAGTGGGTAGTAGGTTCCACGCTGAGCCAGGGACCCTGCAGGGAGAGGAGGGTCAGCCGCAGCCCCTGACCCACTCCCCCTGGCCCCTCAGGCACTCACCTGCCCACAGCAGGGCCAGCAGCCACAGTATCTCTGACATGGAAGGCTTCTGGGCTCCTGTAGGTGGAAGAAAAATGAATACAGTGGGAGGAGGGACTGTGGTGAGACCACGGAAGCTGGGGAGGAGCACGAGATCGGAGCCGTTCACAAAAGAGGAACTTCAGAGCCCAAGTGCTTTCCCAGTCTGCACAGACCAGGCAGACACCCCTTAGCCCAGAAACCAAGGACAGAGAAGGACAACAGAAAGCCAACCCATAGTCCTTGGATCTTCTCTGCGGCTCCAGAGCAGAACCAGGACCTCTGAGGACATCTGAGGAGGGGACACGCGAGACTCTTAAAGTCCTCCCGCTAGGGCCAAGGTCGGCAAATGGCGACTCTCGAGCCACATGTAGCTCTTTGGCCTCTTGAGTGTGGCTCTTGCACAAAATACCATGGCCTGGGCGAGTCTATTTGGAAGAAGTGGCGTTAGAAGCAGTTTACCTTTAAAAAAATGTTTCTAACTCTCTATCCTTCTCTCTTCCTCTCTGTAAAAAAATCAATAAAATATATTTTTTTAAAAATACCTGGAGACTGATAGGAAGGATGAGGTCATGAAAGGAGCTGACCCAGTTTCCATGGGCTGTAGGCTGAGAGAGAGGAGGGATCTCTTGACTACTGGAGGGTATTTTCCATTAGAAGATTTAGGCAACAAAACAAAACAAAAAACAAAAACAAAAACAAGACACAGATCATGGACCTGGTCTATGTCCCTGAGAGGCTCCCCACCCAGTGACACCACTTCCTCCCAACCACAGTGCTGTCGGGCTTTAGAGCTGTGGTCACTCGTGAGTCCACCATGTGACCTGGTGGCATGCTGGGTATTTTCTGAAAACACAAGTGCGGGTTCCTATTTAACATCTTATTCTGATTCCCGATGTTTCAGTGATGACATCTCCAAAGGGAAAACCATAACACAAAGGGAGACCTTGTGTTCCCTGAACCTCTTCCTTAATGATTCCCGTCACTCAGAGCGTATGAACGGGTGACACTGTCTCAGTTCCTCATCACGCAGATGAGCATTTCCTGTCAAGGAAAAACTTGCAACGTTGTAGGTGAACAGTAAGCTCACACATTTCTCTTATATTAAGCAAAGCTCTTTCCAGATGGGGTTCGTTTCTCCCAGTCTTTAGTGGTAAGATGATATTTGCCTTTCAAATAAGCCACATACTCTCTTGTGTCAGCAAGAGTTCACAATTTCCTTTATGCCTCGACTGCTGGGGATCCCAGGGGTATAGCTAGACTTAATTTCAGAAAGAGGTGTTATTCTAGCTCCCTGGTACAATGATGTCTTTTTTTCTAAGTGATTTCTGTTCTGCCTTAAAAAAAGTTGCTACCTTGCCGAAACCGGTTTGGATAAAGCATCAGCCTGCGGGCTGAAGGATCCCAGGTTCGGTTCTGGTCAAGGGCACATGCCTTGGTTGCAGGCACATCGCCAGTGGGGAGTGTGCAGGAGGCATCTGATCCATGTTTCTCTCTCATCCATGTTTCTAACTCTCTATCTCTCTCCCTTCCTCTCTGCAAAAAATCAATAAAATATATATTTAAAAATTCTTACCTTATTAGTGCTATTAAAGGGTAATCATCTCAAATTCTTAGTTGGACTATGAGGGCTCTGATTTCTACATAAAATAAAATATGTAAGATTGATCAAAAATGTGCTTCTCACAGTAAAATGTGGCTGCAAGAATATAAATTTTTTAGGAAATGTGAGTGGAAGATGCAGCTACAATTAAAATTTAGGTTCAGCTCATAAGTTTTCCATTTGAGTCTATGGATATGCATCTGGCAAGTTCTTGATCCCGGTGACATAATATGATTTGCCACCAGATATTTGTACAATCTTTCCAACACAGTGGTATCTAGATAGAAGGGCCTTCAGGCTTACTAATACAGAGAGACATTTGTGCCCTCATTTGATGGATAAGAAATTGAGTTTTGTCCTGGCCAGGGGAGCTCAGTTGTTTAGAGGTCGTCCTGATACAGCAAAGTTGTGGGTTTGATCCCAAGTCAGGGCACAAGCCCTGACTCTGTGTCCTGTCTCATTTCAGGAGCTTCCGTTCAGCACCAGAACAGGGCCAGGACTTCTGAGGACATCTGAGGATGAGACGTGAGTCTCCAAGAAGCAATCAATAAATGCATAAAAAGTGGAACAACAAACCGATGTTTCTCTCCTCTCTCTCTCTCTCTCTCTCTCTCTCTCTCTCTCTCTCTCTCTCTCTCTCATACTTACCTTTTCTCTCTCAAATCTAAATAAAAATATAAGAAAAAGATATTGAATCTCCAGTAAGTAAAATGATATCTTGTTCTAGGTTGCTAAAAAAGCACATGTAAGAATAGCTTTCGGCTTTCGGCTCGGAGGAGGCTCAGGTGCAACTTTCCTCGGTCGTCCCGAATCCGGGTTCATCCGAAACCAGCTGCCTCCACCATGCCGCCAAAGTTCGATCCCAACGAGATCAAAGGTGCACCAGTGGGGAAGTGGGTGCCACGTCTGCCCTGGCCCCCAAGATCGGCCCCCTGGGCCTATCTCCAAAAAAGGTTGGTGATGACATTGCCAAAGCAACTGGTGATTGGAAGGGTCTGAGGATTACAGTGAAACTGACCATTCAGAACAGACAGGCCCAGATTGAAGTGGTGCCTTCTGCCTCTGCCCTGATCATCAAAGCCCTCAAAGAATTTCCAGGAGACAGAAAGAAGCAAAAAAAAAACATTAAGCACAGTGGAAATATCACATTCGATGAGATTGTCAGCATTGTCCGACAGATGTGGCACCCATCTTTAGCTCGAGAACTCTCTGGAACCATTAAAGAGATCCTGGGGACTGCCCAGTCTGTGGGGTGCAATGTTGATGACCGCCACCCTCATGACATCATAGATGATATCAACAGTGGTGCAGTGGAATGTCCCGCTAGTTAAGAACCACAAAGGAAAAGAACTCAAATAAAGATCATTTTGACAAGCAAAACAAAACAAAACAAAACAAAACAAAAAAAAAACCCACACATGTAAGAATAAAGCATTATAAACGCTGTGTATCCTAAAGAAAGTTATACCATTTTCATGGAAGGGAGGTTTCTGTGAGCTCTAATTCTATTTCTTTTAATAACTTCATAATTTACATAGAATAAAATGTACCCACTTGTGTATGCATTTCTAAATGTGAACAAATGGGGTTGACCCACAATCAAGATATAGAGTATTCACACTTCCACTGAGACTTTCCCTCATGTCTTTGGAGTTCATCACTGCCACCTCCAGCCCCAGAGACACCTTCAGTCATGGAGAATTAAGTCTGTCAATAGGAGAATTCCTAAAAAGGTACTGATTTATGTCTATATTCTGTCAGCATATTTGTGAAAGTGATCCAAGTTCTATGTATGTGTTCTTCATAATGTACTTTACTAAGTGGTATTCCATTGTATTTCATCTTGGTTTTAACCTGTAATTTTCTAATAACAAGTGATGTTAAGCTTGTTTTCATGTGCATAGCTGCCTCATTTTTCTTATTAAGGGAAATAAAAGATACATTCTGTGGCTGTTTTTCTTTTAAATAAAACTGTTTATTTAACACAAACTTTACAAAAACATTTCTAATTGTCTGAGTCAGTGGCATTAAAGGACATTCACATTGTTGTGGGACCATCACCACCATCCATGTCATTTCTCCCAAACTCACTCTCTGTGCCCGTGAAAGGTACAGCTTGCCCTCCCCCCAGGTGTTGGCAACCAACATCCTATGATCAGTGTCTGTGAACTTGCTAGTCTAAGTACTTTATGGAAGTAGCATCACATAGCATCTGTCCTTTTGTGATTGGGTTGCTACACTTAGCATAGTATCTTCAACCCACGTTGTAGCGTGAGTCAGAATTCCCTTCCTTTTTTTTGAAGATGAATAACATTCCCTTGTATGTGTACACCACATTGTGTTTGTCTGTTTCTTGGCCGATGGGCCCTTCGGTTATTTTCACCTAATGGTGAATAATGCTACTGTGAACAGAGATGTATAAATCTCCATTAAAGTTCCTGCTTTCAATCCTTTGGGCAAATACCCAGAAGTGAAATTACTGGTTCTCATGGTAAGTCTATTTTTAGTGTTTTGAGGAACTGCCATACTGTACTTAGAAGCAGATGCATAGCCTTGGAATGTAGAGCAAAGCCGGAGTTTCATTTTATCCATATCTGCTCCAAGCCTTGTTATTTCCTGTTTTTATTTTATTGATTTCAGAGTGGAAATGAGAGAGAGAGAGAGAGAGAGAGAGAGAGAGAGAGAGAGAGAGAGAGAGAGAGAGAGAGAGAATGATAAGAAAG